GGGGGCACCACTCGAACCCCCAAGGGGGGCTGCCCCAGGAACACGGCTCAGCGAGCCCAGGGCCGGGAGGAGGGGGCGGGGAGCTGCGTGTGACGAAGGTGGGAGTTCTCGGTAATATCTGTTTGGCTCCGTGCCAGCCCCCTTGGCATTGCTACCCGTGGGGCATCACGGATTCGTTTGCTCCCTGGGACGGGGGCGCTCGAGATAGAGCTGCCAGGGCTGGAGTCAGCCACGGGCCCGGCGCACAAACGGACGGGTGACCCCCGCACAGCCACGCAACCGGCCAGGGACTCGCAGCCTGGCGAACACATGGGGCTCTGAGCTGGCACTGAGTGGGACAGGGCGGCAGGCGCCTCTCCTGCTAACCCAGCACCCCCGGGGCCAGGTCGGGTGAATGCCAAACCCAGCCCGTTCGGACAGGGCTGCCGGGGTCACGGAGCCCTCCTGAGAGTGAGAGTCTCTTCCCGGCGCCTGTGTCGGGGGGTGCTGCACAGAGCTGCACTGCGGAGCAGGGGGACTGGAGCCCGGAGGTGGTGGGGCCACGGGGCTTGGGGGGCCGGTGCCCTGAGGATTCCTCCAAGGGCAGGGCTTAAATTCCCATTGCGTATTTCCTGGAGCCCCCCACCCCCACCCCTGAACATGCTATAACCCCCTGAACAGCGGGTGGGGCTCCGGGCTCCAGGCTTCAGCCGCTGGGCTGGGGTGTGGGGGGGAGCTTGGGGCTCCGGGCTTTAGCCACGGGGAGGGGGGTCTTGGGACTTCAGCCCAGGGGGGTGGAAACGGGTGCTGGGGCTAGTGGCTTTTGCTCCACACCAGCTCTGGCTGGATTGAAGCCCTGTCCAAGAGACAGTCTAAAAGCTGGGGTGTAGCACAGAGCCTGTGGAGCCGTGACCAGGCACAAGGGAAGAGGAGCCAAGCATGGGGAGGGGAGGAGCCAGGCACAGGGAGGGGAGGAGCTATGGAGAGGGGAGGGGCCAGGCACAGGGAGGGGAGGAGCTATAGAGAGGGGAGGGGCCAGGCACAGGGAGGG